TCCAGAGCTTATGCTTCTTTGTGCGTTTCTGGCCTGAGCTGGATATCTGTGGCATAAGAAAGCAGCGCCTAGCTGAGCACAAACAGAATCACTGCACCTTTGTTTTCTGGATATGCTGTCACCACCCAGCCACCCCACTGCTTTTCCTGAGGGAGAAATGGCTGATAACATCAGTTTGTTACCCAAGTCTTGAAAAACAGGGTTCAGACATTACTGCCAGCTGGACAGTATCACTGAACAACCTGGTGACTGGAACAATTCCTCTAACATAAGGATGTTAGAGGAACCTTTGTTAGAGGCTTGCATTGTACGGTTCCACCACATCCTAGCTGGACACTGCAAACCGATACCACGAGGAAGGGAAGCACAGCCCATCACCCACGCTCCCTAGCTGCCCTATCTTGCCTTTTACATCTCACAGACTACCAGCTCCCCCGTGAAGGAAGGGCTTTTCTTTTCCTCGTGGCAGGAGGGACGCAAGGCAGGTGAGGTGGCTGGAGCATTGGCAGCGCCGGTTTCGCCTCCCTGTGAGTCACCGAGCTGCCGTGCCTCCATCAGGTGCAGTGTAAATCCAGACCAGCGCCTGTTCCTTTTCATTAAGAGCCTTGAGCTCACTGCAGGAAAGAAGAAAAGGGCTGGTCATTATCCATTACATGTGACCCATTCACTTGCTGATGGGCTGGTTTTCATCTCCCTGCCCTGCCTGTAGGCACGCATCCCCCAATACCCTAATCTGCTTTTTTTGTTCTCCACCATTTATTTTCCTAGAAGCCTTGTCAACAGTGGCTCCATTCCCTTCCCGTGCCTCCCAGCGCTGTAGGTTCAGAAGCCTTAAAGGGTTCCAGCTCACCGTAACAAATTCCAGAAAGTCTGACCGCTATTTATAAAGCCGATGTAGGAAGGATTTGAGTAATAATGTAACAACGATGTAACAGGAGAGCTGGGTAAATGTAGAGCACACACAGCCTGGAAACGCTGGAAGGTGAACGGGAAGGGGAGGCGGGGGCATTTGGAAGCCCATTAAATGAGAACTTATCATCCGATTTATGTAAATCACTTCAAATGCCTTCATTTATTAAAAGTATTAAGCTGCATTACTGTTTGCCTTTGGTCCCCTAATTTGGTTGCTAATGTCTAAAACAACTGTTGAAATTAATTTGAAATTAATGTTCCTATATAATTACTTAATGAATCTCACATTCACTGCCCTTAGCTTGCAGCTGATAAAGGATCTCACCCGCTACACGTAAGAGGTTGGAACTGACTGTGATTTTAAAACGGTTGCTAAATTATAGTTTGCAAATATTTTACATTTATATCACACACTTCATCTTGAAGGATCTCACTGTGTTTGAAATGTTATGTAACATTTATTCTTTAGTAAAATTCCACCACAAAAACTTTCTGGGCATCAATCTTCTTATTTCCCTGCATGCCTTGAAATTAAATCAAATTTAGCTGTATCATTATGCAAACAAAAAAAAAATCATACCTGCATTAGAAGATTATTATTTGTGCTGTAAAGTGAGACAGTTAGAAGATAGGAAATGCTGGAACTGAGACTCTGTGAAATATAAATTCCCTTTCCCATCCACGTGTATTTTCATAGTCTTTAATTTTATGATCGCATATTTTCTTATATGTACCCCCACCCTCGGGGGACTTATTAGTCCTTGTTAATGTTCAAGAGAAAAAAGGATGAGAAAAAAAAATAAGGTTCAAGAAAAAGCTAGCAGGGAAAGGTAGCCATTTGTGGAGTCCTTGCCTCATTCCTTACAAAAGCTGCAAAGGTTGTAATGCATGTGCCTCCTTTTCTGGGTGGCTGACTTGGTACCCCATAAATCCTGATTGGCAGAAACGCTGAATATGCACAGCAGTAACTGAAGCTAAAGAAACATTTGAACGTGCAGAGCATTTTACATACTACCAAACCCAGTGAAAGATGAGGTCCTGGGGTCTCACACTTAAAATAATCGTACACTTCAAAGAGGGGAAAACACTTCTCCCTCTCCCAGAGACAGTGGAAAATGTATTTGAGCAATTGCGAAACAGCCGCACTGCTTGGTTATGGAGACCCACATTTTCTCGTTCTATACAGCACCACGTGGACTCGGTGCAGCAGGAGGGGAACAGGACACACAGTGAGCCAGCAGCAGAAAATACCTGGGCAAGCTGTTGGTGATGTTGCACAAGATAGCAGGGAGAGGCAGGTGCCTGGGGGGGAAACAGCAAAGGCTATTCTGAAACAAAAGAGCTGAAATTAAGGCCTTCCAAACAGCCTTTGGACTGCTCACTTTTCTGTGTGCTTATCTCTGACTGCATTTCTTCTCAGTTCTGCATGGCTTCTCAAGGATCAAGGGAGAGCATGAGTGCCAGACATTGGCAATCAGGAATGTTCCAGAGCTTTCCCCCAAGTTAGCTTGGAGACATCCTCGGCATCTAGGTCACAGCGAGTCAACCCTCCCCACGCTGCAAAACACCCCCTCCTTCCTCATGCAGAGCTGTAGACGTGTGCTACATACCCTGGCATGGCTCAGAGTAAGGATACTGGCCAAGAGTTGCACAGCTTGGCTGAGGCATGGGCTAATGAGGAGGACAGGTCCCCAAACACAGGAAAACATCAACCTAAATCTCCTTCCGAGGGAACAGGGACTACCCAGCAGCCCACACCCAGCCATCGCCACACACACACCTCCATGTGCTGCCCTAACTTCTTGACTAGAAAGCCCAGTCTCTCCTCCACTCAGATCTTTGCCAAACCTCCCTCTCTTCAACACATTCCCACCCTTGACTGGCTGCAGATCTTCCTTCCGAAATCTTTTGTCTTCTCTCAGTGGGTCCTCCCTCACAACCCCAAAGTACTCCTGTCTCCCACACTTCATGCATTCCATCATCTAACAGGGGTCATTACAACACTTCCAGGAACGTCTTCCAAAGGAAACCTCGCCCAGCAATGCCAATCTAAAAAAGGCACACAGGAATATTAGCTCCTTTTAAAGCTGAATAGCAGGCACATTAGGGTATATTATACTATAACATCCTGGCCAACCACCTCAACTTCCTTCTTGAACATCAAAGCTGTCAAAAGTGAACCAACAGAGGCAAAAAGCCTCTAGCTTGTCTCAAAAGCAGCCAAGTTTTAAAATTTCCAGAAAGCAATCAGAAGTAGAAAGGTTCCCAAGTCATATTTAAACTAGAATGCATAAAAAGAACCATGTGACCACAGTAAACTTGAGAGGGGGCAAATTTAGTGGTGAAAATCAGTGGTAATTATATAGAAAATCAGCCCACATGAAGTGTTTGATTTTGCAGTAAGCTACATTCTTGAAGCACTTTGCCTATGACTTACTTACTCCTTTGCAATACATTCTCTTAAGCAGACACCATTTAAGACCATATCATCAAACTGACCTTCAAAGCAGATTGCTCTCCTTTTTTTGCAGCTGGGGGTTTCATATCACAACCCAGCAGCTGAAGGTTAATACTACAAGAGTGTGGAGCCACTACCTCAGCTGAAGCTTCCCTTCCAATTCTGCTTTTGTGAAAAAAGAGGGAAAGATACTAATACAACTAAGGCTCAGCAAAAACAAAGCATTCTTGAGACAAAGATGCTTTCCCATCTCCATGGCTTTCTCCTGCTGTTTGCAATCAATGGGACAAGGCTGCTTTAGTCAGGTTTCCAGAGTCCTGTAATGGAGAGCAGCTGTCTCTATCCAGATTGCACCAGACATCCCCACAATTACTTTGTCATCTTCTTTTGGTCAGTTGTGCTACTTAACCTTCCAGTACTGCTGTTTTAATAACACCAGCAATCCCAGAACTGTATTCAACATACTTTTTTCCTTAACTCCCAATGCTAACCTGAGGATGTTTGTATTGTTATTTGCCACTCAATACACAGACTTTACATTTGTTATGTTTCAAAATATGAACTCCAGGACTTGTATTCTATTGAACTGAGCTGCATGAGCCACACATCTCAATGTGAACAATTTAAATAACTAGGGCAAGCCTACTTGAAAAGCCTTCTCTTTCTTTCCCCAAGCAGCAAAGAGCTGGGTAAACTGACAATATCCAACACCACCCAAAAATTGAGTTTTGCAGAACCATTCAGATGGCAATGAAGTTCTCAGTCTTTACATAGCTATCTTCAGAAAGCAGTAAGGGTTGCAGTGAATCTTGCCACCACCATTAAAATAGCACCACCTAATAATTTGGGGGAGGGGAAACTTCCTCACGTTTTGCATTAATCAATGTCATTATAACACAAGATACTCAGTTATTTGGTTAACAAGGTTAAATAACTGCATGTTCATAAACTATACCTTTATTCTGAAAACTAAATTTAAATAACAATTAAGTCTCTTTTTCTCTACATGAACAGATAAAAAGCAAGTAGCTCATTCACATTCCATGAGTATGCAACTATAGTTGCCTTTATTAAAAAAAACTAACTTAATTTGGAGCCATGCCTGCCATCTCCCTCTGTCTTTGCATACACCAGCTTTAACAGCTCCTTTGGGGAGCATTCATGGAAGTGGTAATAGAGGTGGTAATTTCCACTTTCTGTTTTCTAGTTCAGAGAGTAATTGAATCCAGTCACTACTGTGATATCTTTCTGGCAAATCTTTGCTGGCCTCCAAGAAATGAGTTGGAAGTTTGATTTCCGTTCTCAGCAGGTATGTTTGTGTGATACAGATGAACTGTTGTAACTGGCAAATTGGAAGCAATTTCAGCAGAGATTCCTAGGCTCAAATACGTGCAAGAACAGAACTTTCACCTCCACAGAAGTCTCCTCTTTATCAGTCCTGAGAAACGGCAGGACCAGATTGGGAGTCTGGATTTCTGCTGTTGCAAGACATTTTGAAGTCTGTTTTATTAAGCCAGCACTCACATGAAATGACTATGAAAAAAATCCCAAGTCATTATAAAATAAAATGCGGAGGCAAAACAAGCTGTATCACTCCCTAAAACTGCATTCTATCTCTGCTGCATTTTAATTGGAACACACAAGTATTTTATTTCCTGTGACAGCAACATTCATTAGTCTTCATTCTGGTTACACCTGTTTAGCTCCCCAGGACAGGTGCAAGAGCATCAGCCACTGACAGACCATTAGAGGCATTCCAGGCAGGTCCATGAATTCCGCCACACAAGTAATTTCAGAACCAAAATACAAGGTACCAGGTGAGTAGAGGCTGAATGTATGACTAGGCTAAGATTAAAAACTTTATTTTTTATACAAAACAATAATAAATCCAAGCAGATAATGAACTAAGTGTGTCTTCTCACTTTCCATTTTTTCTTCTTTTCTCAATAAAGTCTATCCACAGTTCAGTGTTAAACCACTCCATTTTCTGCAAAAACTATGATGTTTCCATCTTGTATCCATGTTTTTCTAATTCAGCTCTGTATAAAAAAGAGACAGATGTATTGAAACACATACAATAGTGTTAGATGTTTGATTTTTTAAAAAAAATATATACTAAACAATATACAATCATTTTAAATAGCAATATCATACTGCTTTTTGAGTCATACCAACAACCATAACCTTACTTGCTCTAGTTCTTGAACTCCAGTTTTTTATCTTAGATCACTCTAAGTGACTTCTCAGTGAAAAATTCAAATATCTGTTTTAATCAGTTATTGCCCTTTGACCCACCATATGGCACAAAGCAGCACCTATGCACCTACAACATCTCCAAACTCATTAGAATAACCAGAATATTATCTTATACATTATATTCTCAAGAATCTTATGCATTATTCTCAAGATTTCCTTAACTCAAGCAAGTTCACTATTGTATTTGACTTAAATGCATGTACTTCCAAAACAATTATAAGCTTTTTTTTCCTGCTTTTAGAATAGTGCAGTCTGAAATTTTTATTTATGTCTTGGTGCAATACACCTTGTAGTGAACAATTCTGAGGGAAACAATTGCTCTGTTGTCCTCAGTTGTGGCCAGGACAGCAAGTCAGGAACTACAATTGTTATCACTCCTGCCCTGCCATCACTTTGGTTCTCACCTGCCTCTGAAGACACCAGCAAGGATGCATCCTGTTTTATCCCCTAGTCTTAACATATATGTATCTAGATGCAGAAGTACAGATCTCTAAAAATATTTTGGGTTAGTTTGCACAATTAGTAGTAGGACTTTCAAAGTGGAGGACTGCAGCATTTGCTTTCTAGAGATATAAGAAACATGCTACAACCAAGCAACACTGCAAACCACTATATGGTCAGCAATACTGCAGTCTGCGACTGAGGCCAGTTACAGAAAGTTTGATATAGATCAAATATGTCTATCAAGAATTACAGTACTTCTTGAAAGTCTGTTTCACTACATGATTTCCAATACTACCATTTAACTGCCTTTCAACCATGAAATAACCATGAAATAACTATACCAACAATTTTTTATGCAGAAGATACAAAACTAATTTCTTTCCCTGGAGTACAAGGGAGATCAACCCAGGAACTGTTTAAGCAGGCATATTACAGACATTTTGCTCTTCATGCAACATATTGAGGGATTAATTATAAAATCTGGCTTTGTTCTGAATGCTTGAAACAATTTAAGTTACAATTATGCGTCAGTAAAGGATTACTGAAACTGCAAGTGACAAAGAGGATTAAGCAACTGGTTTAGAGGTACACAAATTGCTAACACTTTTTTTAAAGCATGTAATTAACAATTACTTTGCTGTTGTTGCTCCTAAACAGTATGTTGATCACATAGGAAAGAACCTTAACTTCCATACAGATGACTAATCTCCAGAAAATTTGCCCATTTGGACAAACAGCAGTGCTGTTTTAAAGTACAGACATAAAACTGTAACATACTTTGCACACCACATAGCACAAAGGGATAATCTTGGATGCCTTGCCATTAATCTTGGCAGTACAATTCCAAACTTTCACACACACATAGAAAAGTCATTAGAAGAGGATCCACTCATGTTAAATTGACAAAGTGTCAACTGTATCTCAGCTTTCTTTGATCTTTGCGTTGTTTGTGTAATAGAGCAAAATTCTGTCACCACAATGGCATATTTCCTAAGGCATATTTCAGCATAATTATTAAAAGATGAAATGCTGATCAGTACTTCAGAGTCTTGTAATCCCTAGTTCTAAAAGGCTTTAAAGAGAAAAGCAAAAAGTAGAACTTCCATTTATTTCTGTTTCAGATGTTTATTTTTTTAAAGTAAGCAGATTTCAAACTTTAAGCCATTAACTAATCAACTCCATTTTAAGTATTTTACCTGTCTTCTAGAGACAGTAAGTTTAAATAACATTACCTTAACTGATTGGAGAAATCATCTTCTACATTGTCATCATCCCAATTGTCTTCCCAGACATGTGCATCTTCATCTTCATCTAAACCAGTCCAATCTAAAGACAGAAAACCAGATCTAAATGCTGTGCTGTATGCTGTGCTGCTTTGATACCATGTCTTGCTGACCAATTAGCTCAGCCACAGGGAAAGACAGACTTCTGGTAAATTTACCAGAAGAGTCTGGATCACATTCAAGTGTTTATGAGACAAAAAGATCTAAAACACATCTCAGAGTTTCTGTAATTACAACAAAAATGAAACTTGGTGAAAAACATCATTACACACACATCATGGCTTGTGAGATTAAAACTTCCTAAGAGATATTTTGCATACTTATGGATAATCCGTAGCATTATCCTTCCAGATTTGTATTTAAACACCTTTTTCAGATTAAAAAAGTAAATATGTATCAGATGCTTTTGCCGAAACAGAAAAACAGATTCTCTGTTCCCTCAAATCAGATGCAGACAGTCGATGGACAAATGACAAAAACTATCTGTGATGCAGAAGCAAAGGCAAATTGAGACAAGCATCTGCAAACATCACTTGATACCTCTAATCAGCTATTTCTGGGTTCCCAAGACAGCAGAAGCTGTCTTGCCTTTGTAGGGAAACACTTTATGTCTACATAACACATTTACTAACCTTATTTATATTTTTCCTATAATAAAGTAATCTGGCACATCACCCTTGACAAATTACTGATCACACACTTCATGATTCATTATTAAAAAAAATAAAATAGTTTAGAAAAATAATGAAAATGAAAGGCTCAGAATCACTATGAAAATAGAAGTTGGCTTACTTGATTTTTTTTTTCAGTTTCTTAGTTTACTCCTACTGAAAGACAGTTTTTTAAATGTTAAAAAAAAAAAATGCCCCCTTATTTTGACACTTGGAACTTTTTATTTCTCAAAGTCTATTAGTGTATTTAAAGAGATAACACTGTTCTTCCTCTTCCATTTTAGTAAGCCATCTGCTGCCCATGCACAGAAAGCTTTGCAGACTAAGGCCTAAAGTAACATAAAACACTAATGGAGATATGGGGAAAGCAGGGGAGAAATTTAGTGCGGTAAAACATCAAAAACTAATTCACTGTGAACAGCTAACTTACTAAGAATGAAGCCTGGTCTTTGCATTTTCTCCTCCTTTTTCTAACACTGACAGGCAACAAAATTAATATTTGAGATTCACCAGGACAGGAAAATGCATTTGTCACTGATTAAAGACACACGTGTGGAAGGCATTACAATTAAATTTCCCTACTCAAATTATATCATGGGAAAAGACAAAGTAGCATAGAAATTGTGCTGTGAGAGCAAAAGAAAAGAACTGGGAAGAAAAGGTGAAGAAAAAACACTGTATATAAAATGCATTATTTGGATTTAGTGGTATTGCTAGTTGCTCAAAGGGAAGAGCTTATCCTTTAGAACTACCTGCAATAAGCTTTGCCCTTGCCAATTTATATGCCATTGATTTTTCATCAAAACAAAATTTTGTCAATTTATATTCCATTGATTTTTTTCATCAAATTTTATTGATTTCAAAGAGAGAAAAAAACAAAGTTCAAACAACTTAAAATTAATACAAACGTTTTTATCTACAAGCACACAAGTAGCTCAGACAGAACTACAAACTTGAAAAAAAATCTCCCAGTAACTCATATCCAGCACAACAAACAGCAGCTTCAGTCATATAAGATCAGCAGGGCAGACTGCAAAATGATGCTCTAAATCACACTGAGTAAAGAGGAGTCAGAAAGGCCCATGTAATCTTCCTTGCTGGGGTGGGGAGGTGGGTGAAAGTAAAGCCTAAATTACATTCTCATCTCCGTAGGACAAGATTCTGCAGCATCTGGATATTGAAACCATTATTCTCCAACTGTATAATAGTTATTACTCTGTGCTACATTATATGCCTGTGACTAAACAAAAGTGAAAAAGGTAGAGCATTATCTGGGATTGAAAGTATTAAGATCACTGCCATTAAGAATTACTAATATACAACAAAACCACAACCTTGTCATGGCTGAGCTCCTTAAAAATACATTTTCATATGCTGATCACTGATTGTTTAATTTTGCACTTCAGAAACAAAAAACAATTCTTAGGATTTTAGGGATTTTTTTAACCCCTGCTCTATCACTTTACACATTACATTTTTATATTCTGAAATGCACTATACAAAAGATTCTTAAGTGACTCATTTACACCTATTTTCATCTACTGTAGTATACTTATGCTATAGTTTAAATTATCCTATAAAAATTTGGCACATCTGGTTTTGATACATAACTTGATTTCATAAATTAAGTAAATTTTTAGGTTGGAATAAACCCCAAAAGTCCATGTTTTCACCCCTCAACACAGATTTGCATGATCTAATTTCCTTTGGATAAAAACTGGGTAATAGAACACAAAGTTCTTCTATTGCTAGAAAGCGGTGTTTTAATTTGAAATAATTAAATGGAGTGGGTTTGAGCCCAGTTATCACAGTTCTTTCCTAAATACTCGAGATAACAGACAAAGTGGCCTGAACACTCAACATCTCAAAACTACGACCTCACTTGAGGATTCATATGGACCCCTTTAGAGGTTCTTATTTTCTATAAGAAAGAACATTTAGAAGCCTAATGATGGTCAGTTTTTAGTAGGTCTCTCTGGTCCACCCAGAAAGCCTGCACAGTACTTTGCTTTAGCATTACTACTAGAGTCAAGCAAAACTAATTTCACCTTCTGAAACAGCAAGCCAGGGCTCTGCCCAATCCAAGGTCTAGAAGCTTCAGAGACTTCCCCTACTGTGAATACTTAATTGACATTAAATAAGATAAACTCTTTTTTCCTGTTTAGGAAACACTTATGAAAAAGAAAGTACGATCTTGTAAGTTTACTTAAGCCAATATCCTGTGTCATGAACTTTCTCTATAAGTGCATGCAAAAATATTAATATTAGCAATACCAAAGGGTTCAGAACACCTAAGGCTTGTAAGGCCACAGAAAAACCACATGTAATAAAGACGTTAGAGAAAAAAAGTCCTGACATTACATTCATCATGATATATATGATTTCTCATGATTCACAACTTGAGACAACCCCAGAATTAAGGACATAAAAAGCAAATATGCCCTAACAGGGATGTTTCCAAGTCTATCTCTGCTAAGGGACACAGCTGTTTTACCGAATTTAACTTCCTTATTAAGTATATCTGTACGTACGAAAAGCAAACCAGCAGACACGTATCAGTGCTTCAATAGGTAAAGAGACCTGGAGTAACTACAGAGCACTGCATTTCATTTTCACACATTTTTCCACCTTACGCTCAGTTTCCAGCCCTCATCCCTCCTCTTCCTTCCGATTCTCATCTCCAGTGCCAAAAAGCAGTACATTTCTCCCGCACTTGTTCCCAGCCCTCTCGCACAATGACACAGCACTTCCAGCGCGATGTGCCCAGCGCCGTGACACCGGCACAGAGCCGGCCACGGGCACCACGACCGCGCTCGATCGCGGCTCTGACGGCGCTGTCGCCCCTGCCCGGGTGGGGGCTGGGCAGGGACCCGCGTGGCACGGGGGAAGCTTCCGCGGGTCTCAGCCGGGCCCTGCGGAGCGGCAGCACAGCGGTGTCGCGGGGAGCCGCGGGGCCCCGCGGGCAGGGCCGGCGCACAGGGCGCCCCAGTCCCACCGCCAGTCCCACCGCCGCTCCCGCCCGCCGCGTCCCGCCCGCCCCGGCCGACCCAGGCCGCGGCGGTCCCGCCTGCAGGCCGCGGCCTGTCGTGCCCTGGCGTCCCGTCCCGTGCCGCCCCCGCCCGGGACCTTCAGCCGGGAACTCCTCAAACTCGTCGTCCTCCTCCAGGAGTCCTAGGTCCACCGGCTGCTTCTTCTCCGACATGCTGGGCCCGCACCGCGTCCCACCGCCCTCGCGCCTGCTGGGATCCCGCGGCCACCGCCGCGCCTGCGCCGCTGCCGGGCCCGGCTCCGGCCCGCGCCTGCGCCCTGCGGTCCCGGCTGCTGCCGGCCCCGCCCGCCGCCGCCGGGCCCTCACGGGGCGGGCCGGGGCCTCGGTGGCCGCGGGAAGTGCCGGCGCTGCCTGCGCTGCTGTGGGAGCAACAGGATCGTTCCTGCACCGCCTGACCGATCTGCACAGACCGCTGCCGAGCGCGGCTGTTCCCTCTCGTTATCGCTTTGGTATGCAGGCAAAACCCATCGAGAACCAGCCTTCGGTCCTTAATCTCCAAGTCATGGTGTTAGAGGTTTTTTTCCCTTCTGGCTTTTAAATGTTTCAAAACGCCAGGGGAGGTTCAGGCATTAGGAGGAATTCATTCACAGAAAGAATGACTAGACGTTGGAATGAGTTATCTTTAAATATTAAAACAGCTATGGAGGTGTTTAAAGAAAGCCTGGCCGTAGCACTCAGTGCCATGGTCTAGTTGATAAGGTGGTGTTTTGCCACAGGTTGGGCTCCATAATCCCAGAGGTTTTATCCAACCGAATTGATTCTGTGATTCCATGAAAACTTATAACTAATTTGCTGTCTTCTAAATTCCTTGTCCTTCACATCAGAGAAACAAGCAAGCAGCTTGAAAGAGATAGTTTGACTAAACTATTCACTAAGAGTTTAGACTGTTGCATGAAAAGTAGAAATGCTACTGGTTTTTATTATTCCAAAGTGTATTCATTTCACTTAAATCTAGATTCTGTTGATGATTTCAACAAAGGCAAAGTTCAGCACTTACTAGCCTGAACAAGTTTGTGTGCATGGCAGCACCGGTGGCTTCTGTCCCAGCAATCACCTTATAACAATACTGCCAGTTTGGTGGAGGAGCTGGGATTTTTTTCCCTTACTCTGTGAGAAGCTCATTCACAAGGCAATGACTTGCACAGCTGGGTTTTACTGTGTCCTAGATTTAAAGTCATGGACACAACAAAATACTGATGTGGGAATTCATACATCACTGAGTTCCAATGCAGCATAAGCATGTTCTGGCATGCAGCCACAGGTAAAGGCAAGGTGGGAAATGAGCCCTTCTGCCAGGTGACTGTGAAATTATTAAAACTCCAGTTTAATAAATTGGTATGTGAAATCCAGTTATAATTTAGCTGTGATTTTAAGCAAGCCATGCATTTTGGAATAATAGATATATTACTCGAAGAGAGTGCAAGATAAAGTCATAAAGTGGATAGGGGTCTGTCATACCAAAAGCTTGCAGTCATCCATGATCATTCAGCTATTAAAGCTCATATTCAAACCCTGTAGTTTTTGCCTAAAACTGAACTATAAAGTCTGGATTACACTGGGGATTAACAAAATACTCAATTGCACCTAGATTATCCAAGAAAGAATGTAAATTGGAAACTCCTATGGGCAAGTGGCTTCAAGTATTCCTGAAGCAGGAAACAGCCTGAACTTGTTTCACAGTTTCCCTACATATCTGCTGTAGAGAAAAGATGCAAGAGTCCTTTCCACCCCTTCTTTCTCTTTCTTCTCTGCCAAGATGCTAGTTAGGAAGCTCTGGAGTACCCATGAAAAGAAGAATCTGTACTTCCCAAGATAATATGGCCAGCCACTTCACAGTGAAACAAGGAAAATCAAGGACTCCTGAAGCAGTGTCTTACTGATGTAGAGTCTGACCAGAGTAAGTCTCGGATTTGAGGCCTCCTATGCATTTCCCACCTGTGGAGCTGGAGTATTCCTGTATCACCAGTTAGCCAGACTTAATCTTGTGTTGACACAAAATTCTGTAGTGTCAAATTCTCCTCATTTTATTATAAATCTCAAACTCTTTGATGGTTCTTTTAAATTTGTGGTTTGTGAAGTTCTGTCATTAAATAAGGAGCCTGGGTCTTATTTTACCTATTTTACTTGTAAGATTGCTTTAAAATAATGATTTTAAAAATAAGAACTCTACATTGGTTTAAATCAAATACCCCAAGTTTTGTAAGCCTGGAACTTCACTAGCTTGTCCAGCATTTTTAGGGGATGAATGCATGAATGCAGACCTCACTGTAATTATCCAAACCCTTTAACTCTCTGCTAGTAGGGTCTCCAAGGGCACAGGTATCTGCCATGTTGTGTTTCTCTCATCAAGGTATACCCATCCTCTATTGCCTGAAGGACCTGAGCTGTGAAACATTCTCCAAACCAACCTGCTAGACCTTGCAGGAACAAGGCATACCTTCAGATTTCCACTGTGTCCAAGCTGGATTTGACCTGGTATGAATGCTGAGTGTCACAACCAACAGGCTGTTTGCTGGTTGTTTGGGGATCAAACTCCTCCAAAGTACACTCAGGTATTTTCACTCATGGTGGAGCAGATCTGACAAGTAAACGACTCAGTCTGCAACAGCAAACAGCCTTCCAAGGGGAATCTCCTGGCAGGTGGTGGATGGGTATGACGTACCATATCCCAAATGTATGTTCCTAACAACCAGACTATGCATTAAGCAAATAGAATTTATTCTCCTGCAGGTAGCTGTTAGAAAACACTGTTTTTAGTGCCAATCTTATGGCTGGGATTTCTTAGCAGAGGCATGGGATTAAATTATATTTTCTTAAGGTTTCTTCTTGGCCTTCTTATGTAGCTTCCAGTCTGTAGGCTTTGTATATCCCACACTTCAGTGGCTCCAAGGAAGCATGTGAGAAACTCACATTTCTGCACCTAGAAAAGGTATCTTCAAATTCTACAAAGCATCACAGCATGTAAAAATGTGGTGATGCCGTTTATAGTACTCAAGCCTTCTGTGGGACTCAGGCCCATGAATAGTTTTCATTCTTCAGGGAAAATACCATAAGGATTCAGCTGACCAGAACAGATTTTCCAATGTGGAAAATGTGCAGGAGGGTGTCCAAGCTCCAAGTATGATCAGAGTTTGACAGTTTCTGGATGGACCATAAAGAATAAGAGTTGCCTTTCAGTATCTACCCTATGCAGTCAGTGGGGAAAGGCCATGGATACCTCTAAAGAGCATACTGTCAGTGATTTTTGTCTGATCCTTCCCCTGTGGCAGTTCCAAGACTGGAAGCAACCTTTACAGTCATGAAACCTGTATTTCACATGGACACAGGATACACAGATCAAGGATTAGGTTTTGATTAAAGTAGGGAAGGCACTCCCTACATTTCCAAAACAGTATAAGAGATCTGCCTTCTTGGAGCTGCAGCCTCTGCACAGCATATAACTACATGCTAAACAGGTTGGTTTTCCAAGACCAAAAGCCTGACAGTATTGGGTGCTTCAGCAGAGAAATCTACATGCCTGTTGCATGGAAATTAAAGGGGGAAAATTATTATGGATTTCAGTGGTTTGGGATATGACTGTCTCTATTAAAACCTTTACTTAAATATACCCTTAACTGGTAGCATGTAAGAAATAATTGAACAAGACAATCCTGAGTAATTCATCAGTACCTCTATTCTTTTCAGAGTTGCACATCAGCTATTTACACAATATGATTTGTTTTAATTTTTTTATTCAGCATGTTTTATGCATTAGTATCAGAAAAGCCTGTCTTTCTCTTGGCAAATGTTGCTCCAAGTTGTCTAGCAGGGACATGTATTATGTAAATTTATTTATTCAGAATGTAATTTGCATAAATGAAAAATGGAAATAAACACTTTTTTTAGAATTAAAGCCTTTTTTCCCCTTCAAGGTGAAACAAAAAGTGTGTGTAGTACACTCATAAAGATTTCCAGATTTTTTTTAGGTGGACTATTAGTCACTTCAGTGCCTGGGCCCATTTTCTTTGATTTGGATGCTTTAATGTCTGAAAGCATATTCTATGGATAAGATTAGGAAGAGACAATAGAACAGATTGGAATTAATTTGCTTATAAGCAGTCAAAGGTGTCCTGTTGAAAAAAAATTTCAAAGCCATATTAAGCATTTGAGATATACTGGGTAAACTGTTGTTTTGGAGGTCTGCATGGTTCCAAATCAGTGCCTATTCAGAAAAACCCTGTGCTGCAAAGGAAATTGGCATTGTGTGTGTTTGATCCAGACGTGGATCAATATCATGTGAAATCTGGGCAGAGACCTACATCTAATGGCCCACCAGCCCAGACATGTCTGTCTCAGATCAGTGGTGCCTGCAAAGCTTATCTGGCTGGGAGAGGGACTGTGTTATGGTCCAGGCTGTTAGATATCCAGGAATGCACCTAATTCCTGGGGGAAAAAACCCACAGGAAAGTTTATTAGCATTGTTACCATTCAGAATGCATGAATTACTGTGCAGTGCGGAATATCTGTCCTGTTGGGCAGTCCAAGCACTGATTAATGCATCCTAGGAATCCCTTCAGAGCTAGTGTTCTGTTCCTCTGGATAGTGCTGTGTTTCATGCTGTAGTTTTTTGTTGGTTTTTTTTGAGTTAAATTGAAGGAAAAAAAGCATATCCTACATTCAGTGCATCTGGAAGTGAGGAATGGATTGCCCTCTTTCTTTCAATAGATATGCACAGCTCTGGGACCTATGGCATTATTCCTGAGGTCAGTGCTTTGGGTTTGCCACTATTTTATTTATTCATGTCTGCAGAGGTCCTCTTTTTCTCTCCATATTCTCCATCATTCACCAGCACCTCCTGGTAGCCCACCCTGCTCCCACAGCCCGTCCGTTCTCAGAGCCGACGCTCACTGGGGTCAGGATGTGATTAGGTGGCTGCAGATCATAAGGAGTATTAATCACAAGGAACACTTAGATGTTGCTTTACAGACTTCCTTATGTGAAATATACTGTGGCAAGCTATCAGGTTACCAGTGGCTGAAATAGAAACAGTTCTCTCTTTGCCCTTGACAGTCAAAAGAGGGTTTGATTTATTTTCTCATTTTCACTCGGTCTAAAGGCAGCTGGGCAGTATTGCTGCAAAGCTCTAGCTGTGTGTCATTGTAATAGGGGCAATATGTTTGTTCACTTCTGCTCTCTTCCTTTGTCTAATTGTTCTATTGTCTTTCTGTTTTCTCTCCACATTGGGGCTGA